ACTTTATTTTTCGAATTAAGTATTGTTTTCGTGACTACCAGTAAATCAGTAATATGAGATATATTCACCCGATTCCTTCTATCAGTCCTTCATCACCTTTACCGAAAGTGGATGAATACATCTTATATAACAGATTTACTGGTAGTTTTCGAATTAAGTATTGTTTTCGTGACTACCAGTAAATCAATATAATATGTATTCACCCAATTTCGTTTAAGGTGATGAAGGACTGGTAGAAGAAGAATTTTCCCACAATGATATGAGTTGACCTCACGTTTCCATTAAATTTCACATAGCCTTGCTTTCTCAAAAGTTGTTCTCATTCTTAAACGAAATTGGGTGGTTACATCTCATATTGAGAATTAACTTTATTTTTCGAATTAAGTATTGTTCTCGTGACTACCAGTAAATTAGTAATATGAGATGTATTAACCCAATTTCTTCTACCAGCCCGTCATAACCTCAAACGAAATTGGGTGAATACATCTCAGATTTACTGGTAGCCTCGAAACCCTACTTATAAACAAAATATACAAGTTTGCTTAAATAACAATCCAACAACATTTGTTATAAAGGATAGGCCTGATCTTTATTAAAGTTATATGAATTAAGGCTTGGTTTCGGAGAATCTCTTAATGAGTTATTTTGACTATAATTTTCATTAAGATTGAAAAATTGGATGGAAACTGCAGTCCACCTTGGATAAGGATATTTTGGGGCAGCAAGACTAAGTAAAATTTAATGGAAAACTGAAACCCATTCATGTGATTTGGGAAAATTTAACTATCATTCTTTCATAACCTTATACGACCTAGGCTGATTGGAATTCTTGTAGTTGTATCCGTCTGCTTGTGCCTCTTCACGCTAAATGTCTCTGTCTCTGTTACATTGTCTCATCCTCTCCGTCTGTGTGTGCATGTGTAATTAAGCATACATTAATTGGCGGATGATTGTATTAAACCTGTTTTATTGTACCATCTTCTTCATGTGTCAAGTATCATCATTTAATACTGATTAATGACTACTTGGTCAAACTCAATGGTTCGACCTTATCCAATTGGCTGGCTCAGATCCTCTCGTCTCCAGCACAATAATCTTCAAACTAGAGTGCTTCTTCCACTTATAGACATAAATTGATATAATCATCTGTCTAGCATGCACAATGTTGTCTGCGCACATCTTTCTTTTAATACATATTTTGATGAATAATACTGAGCGATTGGGGATAGGAACATCTGTACTTAATGGTTAATCATTTCAAAACATGTGTCTTGTCTTTAAAGGCACGACCCACCAAAAAATTCGCAAGATTTTCCTCTTTAAGAATCTTGTTTTGTCTACCTGGTGCCTAACTGATTGGTCTCTAGCACTTGATGCTCGAATGTATCGCATACAACTTGCTCCGTTGTGTTACAAACAGTACAACTCGGTTAGTAACGATTCTAGGCCTGAAAAGAGACTGTCATCGCCATACTTGTCATGCCGACTACATATGACAATCTGTACCACGTGTCTGTAGGTGGGTGTGGTGAAATCTAGAGAAGTGATAATTCTTGAGTTTTTAAGGCTGGAAAGACTGGATAAAAGGGGTTGTGAGGAGCGGGCAGGACAGAAACTGGAGGAAGGTTATCCATTTCCAGTTCTGTAAAGGAAGATGAGCGAGTCAAGAAATTTTCCCACCATCAGAAAGGGAACAAGCTTATTCCACTCATTATCATGCGCCATATGCATCTAAAAAAGTCTTGTCTCAAACACTTATAAGTGGAACAATTACTTGAACAAATGAATCAAATGTAGGAAGTCTTTGAAGAAATTGCTTTTAAAACTTTCGATAATAACTCGTAGAGTTAGCTTGATTTATAGTGGAAAATTTCGCATTTTTAAGCATCACAAAAAATTACTCTTAGCCCGGCATATCAACAGGGCTAAAGTCCTCCTATCCATACAAAAAGGTTTTCAACTTTGGATCTTTCGAAGGTCACTGACACTTAATCAGCCCCAATATCGTCATTAGCACGATTTCAGGAAAAACTTATTTTGTCTACTTTGTAGTCGTAAGGATGGCTGGGTGGTTAGTCTTTATGTAAAGACTAATTATACCTTTTTTATCAGAGACACGAAGTGTACCTCATAGAGCGTTTAACTCTTCCGCTTATAGGTTGACTTACAAGGAGTTCGAAGGTCCCGCAAGTCTAGTAGTTTGATCTAATTTAAGGTAATATACTACTTATTTGTGGACCAACCTTCAGTTGATCTTACGCATAGAACCATCCCAAGATCAACTCGAAACATAGCCAATTATTCCGCAAGTGAAATGGATCTGCGTAATAGAAGGTAGATGACTCTAGTTTTACTATACACCATATCTAAT